ATGCTGGGGAGGAGGCGCCGGGGGGGGGGCCTCTGCAACTTACCTGGCTGCTTCTTGCTCCTCATGGCCCGACTGAGGGCTGCTGGGAGCAGGGGTCAGGGCTTGTTGCATGTGCCCGCCCCCTGAGCTCTTTACTGCCGGAGCTCCGCTCCTGTGCGCTCCTGCAGGAAATGACCCCTGGCTAATAGTATATAGACAAGTGGGGGCCCACTACAAACTTGTGAGGAGGAGGCATTCCACCACCGTTGTTCCTTCCCTTTCTCCCTTCTTTCCCTTTCTTTTTCTCCCCAAGCCAATCCCACACCTTTCTGTCTCCCCTCATGCCAATACCCCACTTTTTGTTTTTCTCTCCCCCAAGACAATCCCCCTTCTTTCTTTCCCCCAAGCCAATCTCTCTCTCTCTCCCCCCTCCCTCTCTCTCTCTCTGTGGCTCCACCTCCTGTGGCAGCCATTTTGTAGTTGCACCCACCAGCCTGTGTTAGAATTCCAAAGGTGCCCAAAGGCTCAAAAAGGTTGGGGACCCCTCATCTAGCCTATGAAAAGTTATGCCACAATAAATTAAAGTGAGTACCAATTTGTTGGTATTTTTGGCAATAGAACAACCTTGTGGACTAGGGTTGCCAGGTCCCCTCCGCACTTCATCAGAGGGATTCGGGGGGGGGTGTTCTGGGGGTAGGGGGGGATGCCCCCAAGCCCCGCCCCCAAGAGCAACCACACACCAGCCACCCCCCTCCCTCCCCTCCTACCCGATTTAACGGGAAATCAGCCCCACACACCACGGCCCCCACCCCATTCACAAAAAGACCCTTTAAATAATCTTTTTTATGAGTGGAGCCTGTGCCCGTAACCCCCCCCCTTCCCTCCCTCCTGCTGGATCTAAAGGGCCCTCCAGCTGATCAGTGGGGTCATGTGGTCCCTGCTGACCAGCTGAAGCCCTTTAACTCAGGCGGGAGGAGAGGGAGAGGGGTGGCTGGATGGATGCTCACTCTCAGGGGCAGGGCTGGGGGCAGGGCTTCCCCCACCCACCAGCTCAGCGGGGGCAGATTGAAGTCCCCAGAAGCGGGGGGAACCCTGCCCAGACTTGGGGGCTGGCAACCCTATTGTGGACTGTACTATTGTGTATAGCTTGTACTGTCTGTTTGCTGTGAGTTGGATCCTACCTTGTAATCTTTGCACCATTTATTTATTTGTTTGTTTGGCTGATTTATAGACTGCCCTCCCCTGTGTGTAGGGCTCAGGGTGGTGAACAACGTATTCAATAAATACATTTATAAATCAGATTTAAACAGTTAAAACAATAAATTATATAACTTCAGATAACATCTATAACCAGTTCAGATGGCACTTAAAGGACCAATTTATGTCCTTACTCCATGACGGGAGAGGAGAGATGGAGGAGGCCAGGTTTGATGGGAAACCGTTGCTGTCCTCCACCTAGGGTTGCCAAGTCCTTACCTTATGAAGAGCTGGAGAGTCCAGTGCTGGTCCAGGAGTCCATGTGTGCGCGCGAAGCGCACACGCGCTGCAATTACATCACCTGGAAGTGACGCAATCATGTTGGGCACGTTGGGGGCGGGGCCACAATCATCCGAGTTTTCCCTTGGATTATTGTGTCCCCCGCCCCCAACGTGCCCGACACAATTACATCACCTCCGGGTGATGTGCTGACGCGGAGCATGTCGCGTGCTTTGGGGGTAGGGTTCCCCCCGGGGCCCAATCTGCCGGCGGCGGGTAACGGGCCTCTCGGGCAGGGGTTTCCCTGCCCCCCGGGGGGACTTGGCAAGCCTACCTCCACCAAAGGCCTGGCGGAACATCTCTGTCTTACAGGCCCTGCAGAACTGCACTAGGTCCCGCAGAGCATGGATGTCATTAGAGTCCCACCAGGCCGGAGCTGGATATCCTTTGGGCCTGGGATCACCAGGAGGCTCTTTTTCCCAGAGCGGAATGTCAGGTTAATACTTATCCTCTGTTTCAAGCGCTGTTCAGATTTCTGTTTGGTTTCGGATTTCTGCAATCCCAATCCTATTGCAATGTTTATTGTTCTTTCATGTTGTTGTTTGTATTGACTTACTCTGCATCATCTGTCTCCAGTCCCACTGAATAAAGTGGATTCTAAGTAGCATGAATAAAATAAAATAAAATAAAAATAGACTGGAGGGTGAAGCACCAGTTAAGGGAGGGGTAACTGAACAGACACTTTTAAACAAAGTTTAATCGTGCATCAATATGTTCCAGTATATCACTTTTCATTGAAGATATAAGGTCAATAAGCTTTTCATTTTGTGGTTGTGTCGCACTTTCTTCCATATGTTCTATTGGGGCAGCCAATTTTTTTTCCAAAGTGATCTGTGAGACTGCTTCTGTTTTGTTTGAAGAAGCCTTTATATCAGTTATTTTAACGTTTTTGGGTGCATTTTTTCTCAGCGCCCAAATTTTTCATACCTGTTTAACTTTAAATCGTGATGTCAGGAGCAGCTGCTATAATCATCGGGGGTATAGGGTACGGAGCACTATCACCGCACGCCTGCCATCTTCGTTGCATGGGATAGAGCAGGTAGAGAAAGAAGTACTTTTCTCCCTTTCTCACAATACAAGAACTCATGGGCACTCCATGAAATTGCTGAGCAGTCAGGTTAGAATGGATAAAAGGAAGTCCTTCACCCAGAGAGTGATTAACACTTGGAATTCACTGACACAGGAGGTGGCGGTGGCTACAAGCATGGACGGTTTCAAGCGGGAATTAGATAAGCATATGGAGCAGACGTCCATCAGTGGCTATTAGCCACAAGGTATAGATAGGAATTCTCTGTCTGGGGCAAGTGATGCTCTGCATTCTTGGTGCTTGGGGTGGGGGGCAACAGTGGGAGGGCTTCTAGTGTCCTGGCCCCACTGATGGACCTCCTGATGGGACCGGGTATTTTTGGCCACTGTGTGAAAGAGTGTTGGACAGGATGGGACATTAGGCTGATCCAAAATAGGCTTCTCTTATGTTCTTATGTTGGCTGACGCCATGCTCCCTTAAAGAAAGTTAATGGAACTGATTTTCAAGACTAATAATAATGTTTGTTTGGCTTTATTCTATAGGAATAGTATTATATTCTTTTAGAACAAAAATGTGCATGTTGATAACATTTTTAATTTATTTAGAAAGCGTATATGCTCTCTCTCCAGAGACCAGCTCTTGTGATGGCGCACAAAGTAAAAGCAATACCATGAAAGCATAAAAGAACAATATGAGAAATGATGAACAAAACAAGCCAGGGGCATAAAAACATTCAGCATTCTAACATTATATGATAAAACAGTCCTCCAGCTAGAAGCAGACCACAGATAGCTGAAGAAGATGGAACCCCTCAGTTAAAAGCCCTGGGTAAAAAAGAATATCTTACTAAAGGACAGTCAGGTAGATGCCAGGTGAGCCATTAGGATGAAGGCATTCAAAAGGTGAGGGGCCACCACTGAAAAGACCCCCATCGCTGGTCACCACCTGTCTCGCCTCTGCAGGTGTGGGCACAGAGACCAAGGAGGGGGAAGAGGGTCTTCATTGGTGGGCTGGACAGTGTGGGAATAGGCGGGCTCTCAGGCACCCTGGACCCAAACCAGTTAGGTCCTTGAAGGTAAGACCCAGGACTTTGAATGATGCCTAGAAACATGTGACAGTTTATGGTTTAATTTAAAAGAATAACGTGCATGTTTTTTTTTAAAAAAGAAGAAGACATGATAGAGTTCGTGTTCTTGAACATCTGTCGTGCATTAAAAGTTGTCAATGGGAAGGAAAGACGACGTGAAACGTTTACAAATAAAGATGACTACAAAACTGAGGAAGGATGAATGTTACAGAAATAGAACTGGATCTGTGGGAAAGCTGTGAAAATCTGTTTGTATGGAGACTTTTTGAGAGTCTGTCTTTCAGGATAGTTATGAGAAATTCTTCCCGTACAGAAGATTGGATTAAAATACTTTTGAGGCTATTTCTACCTTTGTAATTCCATGAGTTTGTGAGACTTTCCAAAGTATCGATTCAGGTGGGAAGTAGTGTTTGTCAGAAGCAGCAGAACAAAGAAGAGAAGAGAAGAGATTGGATTTATACCCCGCCCTTCACTCAGAGTCTCAGAGCAGTTTATAATCTCCTTTCCCTTCCCTTCCCCACAACGGACACCCTGTGAGGTGGGTGGGGCTGAGAGAGCTCTGAGAGAAGTGCCCTTTCAAGGACAGCTCAGACAGAACTATGGCTTGCCCAAGGTCATCCAGCAGCTGCAAGTGGAGTGGGGACTCAAACCCGGTTCTCCCAGATTAGAGTCCAGTTTGAGTCCAGTGACACCTTTAAGACCAACATTATCATTATTGATTCTGTCTGTTAAAATGTGCAGCTTGTGTTTTGCAGTAAGAGGAAGCCATTCAGTTGGAAAGTAACTGTAGTTATATTCTGCATTAAATTAATAGTAACTGTCACTAGAATTCCCCTTGTATCTCAGTTCTACTGGATTAACCTGCATCTGTCTTCTAAGAAATAATACAGTTCAGAGATCTCAACACATTTGTGATAATAACGTGGTGCGAAAATCTTTCTGTAACACCTTTAGGTCCTGCCCAGGTGCCGATGATGTCACACAACGGTTCTGTGCCTCCTATTTTTGTGCCTCCTGGATACGCCCCACAGGTACGTCTTTCCGTGCGGTTCTTTTTGGCTCCATGTGTTTAAAAACTCTTTTAGACTACCCTATGCATGAAGTTAAGGAGCTGCGGTGGCTCAAGTGGTTAAGACACTGAACTGCAGGCTATGGAAGGTCAGTAGTTCAGCAGTTCGAGACCCGGGTGCCACATGACGGAGTGAGCTCCCATCTCTACTTCTAGCTCCTGCCAACCTAGCAGTTCGAAAGCAAGAAATTGCAAGTAGATAAATAGGTACGACTTCGGTGGAAAGGTAACAGCGTTCCGTGCGCCTTGGTGTTTGGTCATGCAGGCCACATGACCACAGAAACGTCTTTGGACAGCACTGGCTCTTCGGCTTTGAAACGGAGATGAGCACCGCAATCCTAGAGTCGGATTCGACTGGCTTTCGAGCAAGGGAACCTTTACCTTTATGCATGAAGTTACCAGACTCTCATATCCCAGACTAGCTTGATCTCATCAGAACTTGGAAGCTAAACATGGTTGGACACGATTAGTACTTGGATGGGAGGCCACCAAAAAAGGCTGGGGTGGTTACACAGAGTCAGGCAACGGCAAACCACCTCTGTTCATCTCTTTGCCTTGAAAACCCCATGGTGGTTGGGGTTTTTTTTTTTGCCATAAGTTGGTTACAACTGGACGACACACTTTACCTTTATACACAAAGTTGAAATTGTGTTAAAAACACAGCAGACAGGGGGAAGTTAGTCATTACCCACCAGCTGAAACTTCCCTCCTAGTGCCATACATTAATGAAGAAGAAAAACGTTAGGAATGCTAGATTGTATTGAAATGAACTTAACAACGTAGTTATACAAGTTGTAGAGTTATGCATAAAATCAAAAACGCGGTGGTTGTTCCTAACGCATACAGTGTTCTTCCTGCAAAGTTACAACTTTGTTTCTGTTTGTTAGAATTAAATTCAAAAATTACATTTAAAAAAAAAGAGGAATGCTAGATTTCCCTCACAATATCTATTTCTAATGGGCCTGACTGTGATGTGGGAACACTTTAAAGGTTGCCAGTTAGGGATGGTTTTTAATTTCAGGGGTTAAAGAGGGATTGGGTTTAGAATAAGGTAATGGGAACTGTTATTTCCATTGCTGAGTCATTGGGACAGGGCGGGATAAGAAACTGAAATAACTAAATGCATACTTCCTGTCAAATGTTATTTTTTCATTAGGCAACAAAGGTGCTTTATGTTATGCTATGGGAATATGAATACCCACACCATAACACCATTCATATTACAAAGAGGATAGTCCTCTATGGGCGTTTCCACCTTCTAATTTCCCTCACTCATAAGTTCCTGTTTCTTGGGAGGGGGCAGTTCTGTTCGGCATGTGTTTGCTCCCTCTAGTGGTTGATTCAATATCACATGGGTTTATGTCCAGTTTAAAAACCTACAGTTTAAATCTGCAGGGAATTATGCTGGACATAAACCTGTGTGATATTGAATCGACCACTAGAGGGAGCAAACCGAGCAGAACAGGAAAAAACAACAACCCCGAAAGCAACTTACAAGAGAGGAAAATGAGAATGCAGAAAAGCCCTATGTTACAATTTCTTATTGTTAGAATTGTAATTTCTAATTGTGAAGTCTATAGCAGGGTTTTTTCTTGCCAGAAAACCATGTACTGTGTTTAGGGTTGCCAGGTCTCCTTGTTCCTCTAGTGGGGGGATTTGGGGGGCATTCCAGGGGTGGGTGGGGACATGCTATGACATCCCTGATGCTATGACATCACCCAGAAGAGACATCATCGTGTCGGGGATGTTGCACAGGGACGCTCTGGTATTTGGGTGAAACTCTATGGTTTCCCCCCCAAAAAACCCATAGAGTTTTCCTAAATACCAGAGCATCCCCCACGATGCCCTGACATGATGATGTCACTTCCAGGTGATGTCATCGCATTGGGGACATCACACAGTAACACCCCTGTTTAGGGGAGGGGATCCCCCCACCTGCCAGCTGGTCCGCAGAGGAGGGAAGCCCCCGAAACCACGGGATCCACCACCCAGACCTGGGGGCTGGCAACGCTAACTGTGTCGGCTTTAATCCACGTCTGGCTGTCTTGTTGCTTTTATGCTATTTACACCACAGAACTCAGTTTTATCTTAAAGGGTTCTGAGATAGACATATTATCTCAAAGCTCACTCTGTGGAAACCGAGTTATTAATTTTTCAGGTTCCAATTCTGTCTTTGAAAAGTGTGTCTTCCCTTGGGACCTAGGTTATTGAAGACAACGGCGTTCAGCGGGTCATAGTGCTTCCCCAGACATCAGAGTTTCCTTCTGGGAATCAAGCGGTGATACAGCAGCCCCCCCTCCCTCCCTTGCCCGGCTTCATCCCTCTTCCAGCCATGATCCCCTCTTCACTTCATCGTCTGTACTCACCAATAACTGGATCTGGCGATAGGACAACCCAGTTTATCCCGCAGTATCACATTACCCAGGTATACGGTGATTCAGGTCAGTAATTTTTTTGTTCTTCTGTGCATCAGTTCCAACTTTAAATCCAGCCTTTAATTACAGCTCAGAAATACCAAAATACTTCTTTACTACATAAAATCAGGGCTCTTTTTGTAGAAAAAGCCCAGCAGGAACTCATTAGCATAATAGGCCACACCCAACAGCAGAAACTCATTAGCATATGAGGCCACACCCCTGACAGCACAGCTCATTACCACATTAGGCCGCACCCCCATGTTACCAGAAGTGTGGTTATCCAGCCACACCCACCTTTTGCTTGTTATTCTGTTTACCTTGTTTGTTGTCAAAACCCAGGGCTTTTTTGTAGCAGGAACTCCCTTGCATGTTAGGCCACACACCCCTAATGTAGCCAATCCTAATGAGTTTCTGCTGTTGGGTGTGGCCTGTTATGCTAATGAGTTCCTGCTGGGTGTGGCCAACTTGGGAGCCAGCCGGAACTCCGTTCCTGTGCGTTCCTGCCCAAAAATAGCCCTGCATAAAATACCAACAATAGAGAATTCTGTCTTTTCACAGGAGTGTGCAAAATCAAATTCACAGTGGTATGATGTGTTATTTTTTTACAAAATGATTCAAATTCTTTCGACTTGAATGTCGTAGCAGAAATCAACCCAATATTGGTTTCCATGGGGAATTCCCAGGGGTGGCTTCCCCACTACTAACCAAATGCGACTAAATTCTCAGGGATTGCTCCTACACCCCATAAGAACATAAGAGAAGCCGATGTTGGATCAGGCCAATGGCCCATCCAGTCCAACACTCTGTCACACAGTGGCCAAAAATACCCGGTCCCATCAGAAGGTCCACCAGTGGGGCCAGGACACTAGAAGCCCTCCCACTGTTGCCCCACCCCCAGCATCAAGAATACAGAGCATCACTTGCCCCAGACTGAGAGTTCCTATCTATACCTTGTGGCTAATAGCCACCGATGGGCCTCTGCTCCATATGTTTATCTAATTTCCTCTTGAAGCCGTCCATGCTTGTAGCTGCCACCACCTCCTGTGGCAGTGAATTCCATGTGTTAATCACTCTTTGGGTGAAGAAGGACTTCCTTTCATCCGTTCTAACCCAACTGCTCAGCAATTTCATTGAGTGCCCACAAGTTCTTGTATTGTAAGAAAGGAAGAAAAGTACCTCTTTCTCTACCTGCTCTATCCCATGCATAATCTTGTAAAGCTCTATCACGTCACCCCTCAGCCGTCATTTCTCCACGCTAAAGAGCCCCAAGCGCTTTAACCTTTCTTCATAGGGAAAGTGTTCCAACCCTTTTATCATTCTAGTTGCCCTTTTCTGCACTTTTCCCTAGTCCACTCTTCCCAATATCACCCAGATAGAAGGAACCATGCCCTTTCTATAAACCGGGGGTCCCCAAAGTGATGCTCATTGGGGGGCGATGTCCTGGTTGGGGGCCAAAACTTTATGGTAGAAGCTAATTTTACCATAGAGTTTTGCCCCAAAACAGAGTGTCACCCCCCCAACATGCCTACATCAGTCCCAGGTCACGCAGGGATGTTACGTTAATTTCTGGTGTTCCTCCCGGGTTGTCCCTAAAAGACTAATAACATCTATTTCAACATGATTTTGTGAGTCACAGCTCAGTTCCTCAGATATGTGAAGGGAAGCTCAGAATGGGAATTCTTCCATGAAAATGACAGAAAGGGGGAAGGCGGGAGCAGAGGCAGCGAGAGTGTAGGGTTAAGGCTGAGGGTCCTCCTCCAGGCACGTAGACTGGGGTTCCACACTTGAGTTCAATAAACAAGGCAGCTGTTTATTATCCACGCAAAATAAAGCAGTATCGCTCCAAAAATGGATAACAAAAGCAAAAAAAAATAAGAGTTGGCGAAACAACTAACGCCTAAAATCAGCTAGCTCTCACTGTGTTAAAATGTCATAGTCCAAAGGGAGCAGAAGGGCAGTGTCCTCCCTAAAATAACAAGCCTCCCCCCAAGGTATTTCTCCCCCCCTCCTTTATCCTGCCGAGGGGCAGTCATAACAAGCTGCCGAGCCGTATATCCAGTCCAGCTGTTGATTAAGATAGTTTAGGCGTCGGGCTCCTAGTGAGACGAAAAGCAGCCGTTCCTGTAACAACTTACAAGGTCAGGCCTCCCCCTCTACTCTTCACTTAGTTCTTCAGGGTTGCAGTTTTGCCGCTGAGTTGGTCTCTTCCCTAACAAAGAGGTTTGTTGCGAATCCCATCATCAGGGCCAGTTCCAGGCAGGGAGTTCCCGGGCCCTTCGGACCACCACCAGGCCCCCACATGTGACCTTGTCCTCCCCCACCCACCTCCCTGTGTGTCCTTCTGTTGCCCAGTTGTGCCCTCCCTTCACTACCCGAAGGAGTCTCAGATCAGCTTGCAATCCCTTTCCCTTCCCATTCCTCATAACAGACACCCTGTGAGCTATGTGGGGCTGAGAGAGCTCTCTCTCGAGAACTGCTCCTGAGAGAACAGCTCTGAAAGAACTTGTGATTGACCCAAGGTCACACCGGCAGCTGCATGTGGAGGAGTGGGGAATCAAACCTGGTTCTCCCAGATTAGAGTCCGCGCTCCTAACCACTACACCAAACTGGCTCTCATCCAACAGTATATCATAATGAGGTCTTATGTCCAGGGGATAGTTCGTAGAAAAAGAGGTGCAGAAGCTCATTAGCATAACTCATTAGCATGACTTATTTGCATATGCCACACCCCCTGACATCACCGGAAGTGTGTCAGAAGGCAACACCCACCGCTCAGGCTCCACTGGACTGTTTTGGATTGCTAGCTATTGGGGAGGGGATGTGCAGATCTGTCCTCACAGAGGAGGGAGAGCTTGTACCTGAATAAAACTTGATCTTAAAGGTGCCACTGGACTGTTTTGGACCAGGGGGCCGGGGGGGGGGGCTCTGCAGCTTACCTGACTGTGTCTTGCTCTGACTGAGGGCTGCTGGAAGCAGGGGGTGGGGCTTGTTGCATGTGCCTGCCCCCTGGGCTCTTTACTGCCGGAGCTCCGCTCCTGTACACTCCAGCAGGAAATGACCCCTGCTTATGTCAGATGAAACACTGAAGGCAATCAACAGCCAAAGAGGCTCAACATCTAACTGATGAGAGGGTGGGCCAAGTGTCCCTAAGTGAGAGCATTCTCTTAAGCCTTTCTTCCCCAGATCCTCTTGCATGCAGAGTTATAATATCCAACACCCCTTCTTAACATCACATGCAAGAGTTCTCATCTTGTCTCTTAGGGTGATTTCCCACAAGCGCTGCTCCGCGCTCACTCCTCCCTTTTGCCCCGATGGTACGTGTCAATTTCACACAAGCTGCTGTGCGGCCGCATTTTGCCCCGCAGCTTCATGCGATTCCCCCCGCGTCTATTCAATCCTCAAAAAACAGGATTGAGTAGACGCGGGGGAAATTGCACGAAGCTGTGAGACAAAATGCGGTCGCGCAGCAGCTTGTGTGAAATTGACACGTACCATCGGGCCAAAGAGAGGAGTGAGCGCGGAGCAGCTTTTGTGGGAAATCAACCATAGTCTTTCAGATCTGTCTCTTGATAGGGGCTTGGTCGGGATGCCGGCCGCCATCTCTTCTGTTGAATAGGACTCTCTAGTGTGCCCTTCTCAGTTAGGGCACCCACTAAGTGAAACTTCACACCAGTGTGCTTAGTGTGTGCAGCCATTTTTTCCTGATTGAGAAATCTTACTGCAGCTCTGGCGGTCTTCTTCAAGTTGAATTGGGTTTTGCTCATCAACTCCAGAGTCCTTTAGTAACTGGTCCAGCTGCCACAAATCTCTGCATGCTTCAGCAGATGCTATAGATTCGGGGCACGATCACACCACAACATCTAGGAAGCATAGCGCACCCGTGGCCAACCCGTGGTGTGCCACTGAAGATGCGCGGTTAAAAAGTACCTGCAAAGATCTACTAGCAAATGGTTTGCCACGGGCTGCAGACGGACTCATTCGGCGTGATCGTGCCGGTGTGCGCCTATTCCCTCTGGCCATCCTCTTTGCAGCGCGCTGAAGGACGAAACCCCGGTGCGCCACCGTCGTGTCTGATCGCATAATGGCGGATCAGAATGCGATGGCGCAAATAGCCATGCCTCCTTCCCGCGTTTTCCGACACGTGTGGCTGGGGCCCATATTTTGCTTTCTACTGGCCCAGGACATTGGTCCACTTCCATAGAGGAACAAGTACCCACTTGTGAATTTATAGTCTAAGCTATCTCCTGCCCAAACTGCATCTGTGTAACCAACTAATTTGGGATTGCTTTTAGATACCAAGCCACCCTTTTTGCTGCAACCCACTCTTCCTTGCTAGGTGCACTTGTCTTTCTATTACGGATCCCATCACTGGTTGCAGTATCGGGTCTGCTAGTGGTGCTTAGCTATAGAAGTTTTCCTATGATGTTTCTGTACTAATTGGCTTTAGCTAGAGGCTCCCTTATTTTTGTGTTCTTAAGAAAGTCAGTTTCCATAGGTGTTGCCACTGTTTCGGCATTTTCTAGACCTACAATCTGTAGGAGTTTTATTATTTTCTGTCTCTGGTTTAGGAAAAATTAACCAGCTTCCTCTCTTTCAATTTGTATGCCCAGGTAGTAAGAAACATCCCCAAGTTCCTTAATTTCTGCTTCTCCGTTTAGGCATTCTACCACACTGTTATAGTCCATTTGCCTGTGATAACCCAGAATCCCTTACTTCAAAATCATATCCCACAAATACACTTTCTCTGGTTTTTGGATCTAGTTTTTTGTCTTTTCTCTTTGGGTTCAAACATGAAGGCCTTGCTGCCAAATACTCTAATGTGTCCCGTGTCTGGCACCTTGCCATGCCATATTTGGTAAGGTGTACGTGTGCTGCCTTCGGTAGGCAGTCTGTTCTGGAGATAATTTGCATCAGGATTGCTTCGGTGCACCATTTATTGGGTAGGCCTGCATCCATGAGCATGCATTTGCTCATCTCCAGTAAAGATCTCGGTTTCCTTTCAGCAGGTGTGAAGCTCCCGACTA